TGCTAACTCTATTAATAAACTTCCTAAATAAAAGAAACAAAAATATTAAGTCATATAATATATGAAATGTATTTTAATAATTTAAAAGTATCTGAAAATTCTCAATAAAATTATTTGACATTATACTACAATGTATTATGTACATATTTTATGTTTTAAAAATGTCTGAACTACAGTATGTGTTTTACTGTCAGATTTGAAGTAGCATTGTCAGTTTATTTTTTGTGAAGTATGGGATTAGTCAATTGTCCTTTATTAACATTTTAAATAATAAACATATATAAAACTATACTCAAGAAGCTAAATGATCTCTCTTTTTTTTTTTTTTTTCCATGAAATGCCAATATATTCAAAATTAGGTCATTTAGGCCTTATAGACAGCAAACTCTTTGGGGAAATTCTTGCCGGACCCTTCTATGTCATATGAAACTGAAGACTAGATCTTTAGGTGATGCAAACTGGTTTTGTTCTATTTAAAAAGAGTTTTAAATTGCATTAATAGATTTAAATCATAGCATGAAAAGAGTTATGTCCTAGAAAGTAGTATGAATGTTGTATTTCACTGACCTTCTTGTGATTAAATTCATTTTCAGCTGATTCAACAGGAACTCATTCTCTCTATACTACCTATAAAGATTATGAGTTAATGTTTCATGTATCAACAATGCTTCCATACATGCCCAGTAACAGGCAACAGGTATGTTTTTTAACTTTTCATTGTAATTTTACATTATAAATGTTTGACATTGAGGAGTTATTTTTTAAAGTAATAATTTAAAACTGTATTGTTTTATATGAAGTTTGACTCAATCGTATTTTTTTTCTTGAAATATTATAAGGCATTAGAACTCTCATAGGATTTTTATGCTATATAATTTAGCTACTTATCCTATCTTCCCCATTTTATGATATTCTTAAAAGGTAATGTTGCCTGTGGTTAGTGAGTTATTCTCAGTTTGAACTGGATTTACATCTTAAGTATGTTTTAAACATTGAATGGAATGAAGCTTGAAAATAGTCTTGTGGTTAAAATATACATGTAATAACATTTTAAAAATTATTCCACTTAATCCTTATATTACAGATCTTGAAATATTTATTAATGTGTCAGCTTAGTAATAAATGCTTAACTGTATCCTTCAAGGTGTCTGCTTGTGAAGACAGAAAACTGCAGTGTACTTATTTCTGGAGAATTCCCTTTGCTTATGTAATAATTCAGAATATAGTTAAAGCATTAAGGATGGCTAAAAAACCAGCACAGCATCCAAAGTGTGCAGTGCACCAGTAAGGTTACTTGGTCTTGCCTGTCTTGGATATTTTTTGTGAATGAATTAAAAAATACAAGCACATTTGGTATAATATATCAACATTAACACTTAAAAAAATAAAGAGGCAGTAGAACTGCTTGTAGGTCAACCTGATGATAGTTTGTAACTTTCTGCACTGCTACTCTGCATTTTTTGAAATAGAAGAAAATATATAATGTATTTATGTATTTTAAATAGTCAGTGTATAATGTCCTAATGGTTGGACTTGATGATCTTAAAGGTCTTTTCCAACCAAAAACAATTCTATGAAAATGATTCTGTAAGAACTGTTTCAAGTGAACAGTTAAGACAACTGCAAATTTTACTCCATTACACTTAGGATTTAGATGTGGTTTAAAGAAACTAGATTAGGAATCAGAAGAAACTCTTCACCGTATGAATGATGTGAATGTTTAGATGACTCACATCTTAAAATGTGTGGCTTTCAGACAACAGAATGTTCAGCTGTATCACACACTCAACTGTGCCAATAGCTAGTAATCAAGGTATTGGATCATCATCACTGATTTGAGATTGCTCCACTTCTCTAAACTTTCACTTACACCTTATTACAGTACAGGATTAATCTAGTAAACACACTAGGAGTTGTTCTGTCTGTAATCAGTCATAACAATTTTTGACTGGAAAGCACATGTAAATAAGGAAAACTGTACACTATTAAGAAGATATAATACACTGAATGAGCTTGCCTTAAAAGGAAAAACTGAATATTTTCATAGCTAATCACAGGCACTGACAGTAAATATGGCCTTACTTGGAGTTTATTACTTTTGTTGTTGTCTTTCATGACTTTCCCTTGTTTGTAAGAACAAGATATCCTCTTGCCATGACCCACTAATTTTCATAATTGTTTGCTGTTTGTCAGCTTCTCTGCTGTGTTGCTCAGCCACTCCCTATTACTGTCCTTTCACTTTTTCCTGTGCTTTCCTTTCATTCTCATCATTTCCTTATGTGTCTTTCTTTATAGTCAGGTGCCGATTCTTGTGTATAGCAAAATCTTCCAATTTTAACTCCATGGTTTTCCCCAGCAACAAGCACTCCTTTCCACAGTGTTTTAGTAAGCTCTCATCATTGTCACTTTAACAGGTTCAATGTGGCAGTTTTCCAAGTTCAAGTAGTATGCCTATCTGAAGACCCACCCCATAATTTTTTTTAGGTGCTGGGATCTAGCAGTATTTGCACAGCATGGACACTGTCTTAATGAAATGTGACAAGTGCACCCAAATGACGAGAATTTAGCCAGCCTTAATGTGCAAAAGGGATCTATAATAATTTGTTTAATTTTCTTCTCTTACTGTTTAGTTCCAAAATTCATACTGAAATATGAAATGTATCACCAGTGTTATTTCTCACAAGCTAGGATAAAATTCGATTAGGTCTTTTTCCTTGAGACATTTTAGATACTGAAGACCACAGATGCAGTTGCATCAGTTGTGCTCAAGACAGAGAGAGACTTACAGGTGCTGTGGAATATGAATGTTGTTTGTCTCTTCAGGGTTTGGCTCGCTAACTTTACATACCCAAGTAAGGGAAATTTAGGGACCATGGTAGCTTTCCTTTCAGGTTATGTTAGCAATAAAGACCCTCATTCAATAGTTATTTTTTGCTAGCTTATTCTGTATGTACTGGCGATGAGGTCATTGCATCCTATCCCCATGTCCCTTGTTTGGTAATGACTGGGCAAGGTATTGAGTCACTCTTCATCATCTGGGACTATGACCTTCAATGAGCAAGCACTGAGCATTGCTTATATTCCAAATACCTGTGAGCCAAAAATAGGCCACACCAGAATTGTTTGTTGCTTCTTCCAGGACATAACTACGCCCTGCTTGGTCCCTGATCAGGACATCCCTCTAGTTTTAGAGCCAGCAGGAGATCCAAAGAGCAAGGTAATTTTCACTTTGGCTGCAACATAGGCTGGGAACTTTCAAGTCAGCTGCTCCTTCCCTAGGACAGAAAAGACTACCAGCCCTGGTGTGGCCAGTTCCCTTTCCTTTACTGGCCTTTTCTTCAAATCATAGTTCAAGGCTTTCCCCTTTGAACTTTACCTTTGCGATGTCCCTTTCCAAATCATTCCCTTGCAAGTTTCCTATTCACACATTTGCAGTATGCTTGTGTACACATGGTCAGACCTGATTAATCCAAATCCGTTCAAATAATCATTTTTCACCTGGTTTAATGAAAACTTAAACACGAAACAGATATGCAATAATGAAATAGACTTGTTGAGTTTAAGCTACTATTAAAATGGTTGGGATAGCAAGATGTGTGGTTATACTGAACTCGGTTTAACCAGATCTGATGAAATATCTTTTCCATTTGTTTCTGGTTTTGGTATTGGTTAAGAACACAAATTGAAAATAAAACTTTTGCAACCACTTATTTTAGAAATGTACTAAAATAAGTCTGAAGATTTTCTCATTTGACTCAACATTTCATCAGTTAATTGAATGAATATATTTCTCTGCTATTTCAACAAGAATTCCTTGTTGTTTCGCAGTTTGACTAGGCAATTAAAATTCCACAGAATTGAGTAGATTTTTATGGCTGGGCATAACCTGTAAATACGCTAAGTTTTAAGACAGTACTTTTCTTCAGAGATGCATATCTGAAAATTAAGAATTGAGTAGTTAAAACCTCAATATAGTAACTATTATTTGATATAAATAATTTTAATCTAATGGATTCTGCTTTTCTAACATATTTTCCTTAGTGGACTCCCATTTGCGTGTCTTGTATTCTTACATAAAACTTCACTGATTTCCTTTTGGCTGCCTATCATACTTGATTGGGTTCATTTTCAAATTCTACCATGCCAATTTAGACTAGAGTGATGTCAAAGTATGTTTGACATCTCCTTACTGTAAGTAATCCTCTGTAATCTGAGCACCCTGTTAAGAGTTGCTATTGAGCTCTGCATTGGCATGAGACACTTTAGAGTATGTTAGAAAGGCAGATTAAAAAAAAAAAAATTAGTTATACAACTACTCCCAAAACCCCCAAACCTGAGCAGACCTCAAAATGGGAGAGGAACAGGAAACTGAGAACATGGAAAAAAGGCTAGGAGGTAAAAGTTGGGAGGAAAATCTAGGTTATAGAATGGAAACTAGAAAAGGGTTTCTTATAAATCTTTTTGCTTAGTTCCAGTTTCCTTCAATTCCTTTTTCATTTTCAGTTTGCTATCCTTATCTCACATTTCCCAGGGACATATGTATTCCCTCCTTCTTCTCCATTCAATACTTTATTCTTTTCCTATTCCTTTATCCTATCCAGAGCACTTCTTTCCATCTTCCAGATCACCCCAGTTTACTTCTCTCCTCTTTCCAAGTTCTTTGCATTATGATACTCTACGCACAACCACAACTGTGCTTTGCCTTTGCATTGTGTTGACTTTCACTGACCACTTATGCATGACAGTTATTTATAACAGTGTTACGCTGATTTTGTTTTAAAATGTTAAAGAAGATCTCTGCAAGCTTGGTAAGGTTCCTAAAAATGATGACCTGACTTCCTGTTTCCTATTTTTGTGCCTCTTGGAGGTTTAAGCTCTTGAAAAATAGTTTAGGGATAAGAAAGGGGAACTGCCGTAATTTTGAAATTACTATTTTTGCTAGTAAAATTTCGAACATTTCTAAAACTTAACTCTTATTAAGTGACTGCTATTCTTGCCTAAGCAGCCTATGATGGCAAGCAGAACCCCCTAAAGAGGTCTACAAAAGCAGAAAATATTCTTGAAAACAGTGGTGGTCTTGAGAAATAAATACAAATCTCAACAGGATGTTTCCTTCTAATTTTGTGATTTTGCTCTGTGGAACTGTATAGGCATAGGTATGAACCACTGTGGCAAGAAAGAGTAATTGGGCAGTTATATAACAAAGGCAGAAATGAATCACCTTATAATTGGAAGGTTTCTTACAAATTTAACTGCGGTGTGGATTCCAACCTGTGAGATAATAATAACCTCTAAACATGAACTTGTGCTTCACTACTATGATCTAATTGTATGGTTCACTAGCTCAGCAAATTAATGTATCCCTGGCACACTTAGTTCTGTGATCAGTTCCACATAATGTACTTTTACTGTAATTTGTATGCAACAGGATGTATATCTTAAATTGCTCAAATAGCCAGTCATTTTTATTTCAGTCATAAAAACCTGAAAACTTGACTGAGCCACATGACTTCTACCAAATATTATTTTCTGTTCTTATATCTGTTTTAAAGTTTCATCAGTAGTCTTATTTCTTTAATCCGCATTTGGGATTTTGACTATGTTTAAAATAATATACATATACTGAGTACTTCAGAATTGTGGCTTTGGTACTTCTTACTACCTTTAGAATACCATCCTTTATGTTATTTTAGGTGATGTAATGAAACATACGTATGGGTCTTAGGCTTTAGCATGTGCAACTTAGCTTTTTTTGTTGGTAGCTGAAATACTAACTTTTAATGGAACTGAGAAAACAGAAGCGAATACTCTTTTATAAGAAAAAATATGTTCTGTAAAATCAGCTTGATAGAGAAACTTTTATTTGTTCTCTCATAAAGTTTTCAAATAAAGTTATTCTTGTATCCTTTTTAGTTCCACGTGAGCTAAGGTAAAACTTTAAGTGTGTGTATGCTATTGGTTGACAGTGCAAGGTCTTTGACAGACTTTGGGTGGATATTTAAAATGTAGCATGTTAGACTACTTTTTTCCATCTGGATGTTTTATAAGCATGGATGTTTTATAAGCAAAGGTATTTAAGAAAAATGTGTAAAAAAATTTCTGTGAGGAAAGTGAACATCATTTTACTGTGTTGTTTTGTTGTTTGAGGGTTTTTTTGAGAGAGAAGTGGTCCTTTATTGCTGGACATGTTTTGTAGTTTTTATTAAGTTTTAGCTTGTAACAGTGATTTAGTACTTTAAATTATTCCTTAAATATATTTTGATGATAAAAACTACCAATTACAAGAACAAGCTTTTAATTAATGAGTTTCTAATAGCTATTGTTTCTCCATAAGTATTTTGTGTCTCAGCTGTGTTCCTCAAGTATGCAGTTGTTAAAATTTGTGCTGAGTATTCATGATAATCTATTTTTTACAAAAAATAAGATAACAATATTAAGGACAATGTTTAATAAAAATGTGACATGGAAAAGGAAGATTTATTGAGAAAGAAAAGCAATTTATATTTTTGATATAGAAGCAAATATTACACTGTAAATAGAGAACTGATGTACAGTTCCCTATATAATGAGAAATGTCAAGTGATGTAACTTTTTTTTTTACTAACTACAGCAAGAGAAATATATTTTTCTCATAGAATGAAAGAGAAATGAGTAGAAACTATGCAGAACTAGTGTGGAGATGCAAGAAAACTCACTAATATTTTTGTAAACTTAGCCCAATTTCCTTTCCCAATCTTTTTGCAGTTCAATCCAATATCCTTTATCTGTAGCTAGGCAGGATATGATTCATTAAAAGTTACTTCTGAAAAATTAAGTTTCATTTATTGTGGTTTGGTTTGGGGTGGGTTTTTTTGCTAAAATGAAGAAATTGTGATTATTTTTTTTATAACTAATTTTTCAATGCATGTTTCTTGTCTAGCTGCTAAGGAAAAGGCATATAGGAAATGACATAGTTACCATTGTCTTCCAAGAGCCAGGAGCACTTCCTTTTACTCCAAAAAATATTCGTTCCCACTTTCAACATGTATTTGTCATAGTCAAAGTGCACAATCCTTGCACTGAAAATGTGTGCTATAGGTGAGTAGAGCCTTATAAACTATTTAAGTTTGTTATTAAGAACTACAATGGAACTGCCTCTGCTAACAGTTTTGTATTTCCTAGAAATATTATGTATACAATGTTAAAAATTCTGCTACATTTTCTGTGAGTTTGAAACCCCAGTGTCTCCCTTGCACACAACTAGAGTTATGGGGCACAGTTTCTAGACTTAAATGGGTATATACAGAACTGTGTTGCTGATTTATGGACTCAAAATGCGGATATAAGAAGTTAGTGAAAATAAGATTTGCAGACATAGCAATATAAATTAATTTAGAATTTGTATTGCACATTTCCTTTTTCAAAGAAAGTGATTTAAAATAAAGTATTTTAGAAGGCTATTAACCTGTATAAATCCCTAAGTATGACAGTAAGACACCGGGGTGAGTCATGGCCTTTGAGCACATGAATGAGTACTTTTGGGGAGTATAAATACATCTCAAATTTCAGATGACCTTAACTCTCACATTTAAGTTACTGCATCATGAATTCTAGTGAAGTAACCAGGGTGGAAGCATAGTTCTGAACTGATTGGAAATTGTGCAAATAATGATAAGGACTTGAAGCATAATGGTGCAGATTTAGCATGTATAAATGTTATTTATCCATTATTTAGAATAAAATTAAAGTACATCACCAGGTTGGGTCATATTACTATCTTTTAGCTGCCTTATAGAACTCAAGCTATCTTTTAGAACTTGATTTTGTTTCAATAGCTCTTTTGTGTTTAATAATACATGATATTTCATAAGTTACGTTTTTCTTATTACAAAATGATGTCTGTCTGTCATCCCAAATGTGACTGCATTTCAGTCAAACTAGTAGTAGTTGTACGTAGTTTGCACAGTATTTTGAAATCCTTTTTCAGTTGAAATACATTATGTAGATACCAATTGTAGGTATAACTGTATCAATGAGAAAATATTCCTGTTTCTTTTACCTCCTGCTGTGAACTGTCCATATCAAGACTTGCAGGTATTTTTACATTTTATGAACATAGAGTAGGCAACTTAAACAGGTGCAGAATGCTCCCATTATAGACACATTTGACGTCGATACTTTTTCTTTGTCTTCACACTTTATTGTATTAAAATGTTTGAGGATTCAAATAAATTCTGGTTCTATTTATATGTTTCTTAGTTTTAACTGAGTGACAGCTGAAAATGATAGTCAGACTTACATAAAAAAAAAAATTTTTAGGAATACTTCTCTCATTTATGTCTCCAAAAGCATTTTTATACTTATTCCATGAAAGAAAGGCGACAGTGACACCCTAAGAAGTCATCCTTGATAGTTTTTGTGTTAGTAAGAAACATACATAATGTCTTTTATATATTTAAAAGAAAAAAGACATTTTAAACCAGACAACCAATCAGTTTTCTTTGATGTATCTAAAATATCTGGAAATTGATGTGTCAAAGCTAAACCAAACTGTGTAAATGGACTGCACAGATCACAGTTCTGCTTATCATCTGATCTTTTTTTAGGAATTAACTAGTGTATTTTTTTCTTTCTGTTTCCAGTGTTGGTGTTTCACGATCAAAAGATGTACCTCCGTTTGGTCCACCCATTCCCAAAGGAGTAACTTTCCCCAAATCAGCAGTCTTTAGGGACTTCCTTTTAGCCAAAGTTATTAATGCTGAAAATGCGGCACATAAGTCAGAAAAATTTCGAGCCATGGCCACAAGGACACGTCAAGAATACTTGAAAGATCTGGCAGAAAATTTCGTTACCACAGCTACAGTGGATACTTCCGCAAAGTTTAGCTTTATTACTTTAGGGGCAAAAAAAAAGGAAAAAGTGAAACCAAGGAAAGATGCACATCTATTCAGTGTTGGAGCAATTATGTGGAATGTGATTGCGCGAGATTTTGGCCAGTCTGCTGACATTGAATGTCTCCTTGGAATCTCCAATGAGTTTATCATGTTGATTGAAAAGGAATCAAAAAATGTTGTGTTTAACTGCTCATGCAGAGATGTTATTGGATGGACGTCTGGATTAATGAGCATCAAAATATTTTATGAAAGAGGAGAATGTATTCTTCTGTCTGCAGCAGATAATTGTACGGAAGACATCAGAGAAGTTGTTCAAAGACTTGAAGTAAGTACAGTTCTTAAACTGGAATTTCAAATTTTTTTATGAAGAGTTACTTGTCTACATCTCCTTTGAGATATAATTAAAAATGTCCTGTTTATACTTCGTGAGTGTTTTCAGTCTTCAGAGAGTATTACAAGCAATATTCCTCACAACAGCATATGAGATAAGTGTTATCAACCCATTTTCAGGGATGAGGAATCTGATACCAATAATCTGATAGACTTGTCCAAGGCCATGGATGGTTTCAGTGTTGAAATTGGGACTGAAAGGCTAAGCTTTTGTCTTCTCTTGTTGTAGCCTGTTCTCAAGTCACACCTTTGCAGGTAGAAATGTACCTTAATTTAAAAATATACAAAATCTTAATGTGTAAAATATACTCACTTTGACTTTTTATATTTACCCACATGAATATTAGCAGAAAAAAATTGTATAAGTGATTCTGCTGATTTGTTCCTCTATACTGAGCAACTGCAGTAGGTAAAGAAAACTAGACCAATTAATGCCAGTTTTTACAGCTGGTTGGATAAAGTTTTTCAGAAGCTTGATGACCCTCTTAGCGTAACTGTCCTGTAACTATTTCAGTCAGTACAAATGAACTGACAGGAACTCCAAGGTAAAAGTGCTGATGCATCTACTTAATGTGGTTACACATCACCCTTTGATCTTAATTTAAGTGATGTAGATGGTCTCAGTTTTGTTTATATTAGAAAGCCTGGTACTGAAAAGAAATCATTATGCTTACCATTTTCACACTGGAACAGTTGGATTGCAGCTGATGTTTTAGGGCCTCTGTAGTTCTGCAGTCACATTTAGCATTGCTCAATATCATGCTCTAAATAATAAAATTTTTCTTCCAAAGAACAATTAATCTTTCAATAGATGAACGTCTTTAAACTCTTCTTGCCACTGTTATATTATCCTTTTCATTGAGGTCTTCAGTTTCACTTTCCTTAGATGGGTATTTCCCTTCTGAAAAATAGCTTACGCATAGTTCACTCCTATTAAACATTGCTAAATGAACAATATAACTTGCTTAACACAGATGGAAAACAAGATTCAAAGTTCTAGTGAAAACTTCTGCTGTTATTATTGTCGACAATTTCTTTTACTGTTTTTTTTTACTTTTTCGGTTTTACAAAACATGGAAATATCCCAGTTGCTGAAGATAGATCTTTAAAATTCAGTAATTAAAACCACAAAATGAAATGGTTATCTATATGTACTTGAATACTTCCTCTTTTTTTATGGTCAGATTTTGGGTTAAATAATGACAAATTGGCTTTAACCCTCAAAAATTTAGCATCAGTTACTGCCAAATTAACCTGAATATTAGCTTCAAGTATCTACTGCTATGAACTCTGGCTGCCTTCTCTCTTTCACTGCAACCTATCCAACTTTCACGTTGCTTAAAAGAATTAGCTGTCATTAATTGTTTTAAAACTTTTTTCATCTCCATTTCTTACCTCATATTTTTCTCCTTTTTCCCTGCTTCTTCCTCTAACTTGAAAGCTGCATATTAATGTTAGTCCTTAGTTGTTTTATGATGCTCAGTGCTTTCTAAACAGTCCTTGCATACATGTTGACAGAGAAACTCAGAGGTAACCATTACAGCCACTAAAAAGTATTTGAAACTCTGATTCCACACTTCATGTGCATAGTTTAAAAACCTTTTAAGTGACTGAGAACACAGCTAAGGTCAACAACCACATGTGCCAGCAGATGCTAAAGATGAAAGCTCAAACTGTGACAGAATATCAAACTGCAGTGACCACATGATTTACCCTTTTCAGTCACTAGTAAAAGCATTTCTTAAAACCAGTAAGTAAAATGTTGCAGTTACTAGATGAGATTGTCAAAGAAATAACTATGTTTTATTGCCGGGGCTTAAATCATGCAGATGAATAGGAAACCTATCTGCATATCTGGATTAAGCAAAGATGTGAAAAGCTGAGATTGTGATTTTGGTTTGAACCAAAAGAATCAGTTCAGGACTAAAAAAAGAACTGGGATTTGTCACTCTAGAGTCAGATCTGTATCTGGAGGGGAGAGTATCTATTGATATAAAGAGCAGCAAAAGCAAACTATAGATGAACTTGGTGGGCTGTGTTTGAAAGCAGAAAAAGCAGTGGTTCTGAGCTTTAGGATAACAGAGAATGGCTGAGTCATATAAGATTAAGTGAAAACCCTGGATCTTTAGACAAGAATCTGAGTAGACAAAATTTCCTTAGAAGCCTGTATACTAAAAAAATGGGACTTAGAAAATCGCTGTCTTTTAATTTCATCTGTATTAAGTGCATTCAGAAAAGCCAGCTCTTAGTTCATGCACAGCAACATGTTCAGTGAAACAGCAAGCAAGCAGAATGACCTATTTCGAAGTGGAACAGCACTATGTTTTATGTGACATTACTGTGTAACATGCAGTGTCACCTTTTAGGGGATGTACTTACGGATGACTTGATCTTCTGGAATCCTTTCCATTGGGAATAGATGAATATTTGGCAGGAATGTTTATCTTCCTTCTCTTTCAACCTTTTAATATTTAACTAACTTGAAGAGATTTTGAGTGCTCTGAGTTGGATAAATCCACATACTTTGTCAGGTGCATTCATTCTGCAGTATTCTATAATTGTGACATAATGACAAAGAGGTGTCTGCCCACCAAAAAGATTATTGTGTAGCTTCATAAGGATAAAGTTCCATCCCTCAGCTGGGGATATTTGCCTTGCCGGAGTGTTATAGAGCATGGCGAGATCTTTGAATGATGTGCATTATGAACAAAGATTTTTGATAATGTGGTTTCACAGTGGTTAAGTTTTTGTTCTAATTGTACTAACGGAGCTAAAATACATACTGGTCTTGTGACACTAACAGAAGGGAATATTGGGTTAACTCACAAACTTAGCTTGTAATGTGGACTAGAATTTGGTCTTCTGCTGATGCAGTACCCTAGCATTCATGCTATTGTATGATTACTTTTTACTGGGGAAAACTGTTGAGGACTTTGTTACATAGTATATACAAATAAACTTGCTTAACAAAGTCTGAATTTGAAGAATTTTGGCTACTCTATATAATGACAGAATTACTGTTCATTGAATATGAAGAAGGTAATTTTTTTGTTTCTAAATTTCCCAGTGGCATGAAAACTTTTATCCTATTTTAATGATGTCCACATCTGGAGGTGGTGGTAGTTAGGAATCTGACTACAAGGCAAAATAAATCAAAATTATCTTCATTGCTATGGTCTTGAGGAGAAAAAGCTGCTAGAACTGAAGCATTTCACTCAATTTGGCTCATGTTATATCTCAGGTTTAATCCTGTCAAATATGGAAGAAAAAAATTCCTGCACACCTGCAGTCAGTCTGCCAACAAGAATGAAGTAACTGACAGAACAGCATTTTACTTGCTTTGTGTTTTGAAACTAAAACAGCTGTTAAGTTTTCAATAAGATATAAATGATATTGTGTTGATGTTGGGCAAAGGGGAAGGAACTTGACACAGGTCAGCTGCTTGCTCTGGGGATGTAAGATTTTCAGCATTGTGAAATGTTCTGTTCATTTTGTTTTATGCAGAAACATTCAACCACAAATGTCAAAATAATTGTTAGTATTACTATATTTAGATATTTAAGGTCAAGCCATACATGTCTGTCTAGTGTTTCCAAACAGATCTGTTTGTGTGCTCAAAGAAGTGAGTGTCCTGACAGTAGCGTAACAATCTGCTACTTCTTTAGATAGTGACCAGAGGATGTGAAACTACAGAAATGACCCTTCGGAGGAATGGGTTGGGCCAACTTGGATTCCATGTGAACTTTGAAGGGATAGTGGCAGATGTGGAGCCCTTTGGTTTTGCATGGAAGGCGGGCCTACGGCAAGGAAGCCGCCTGGTTGAGATTTGTAAAGTGGCTGTGGCAACTTTGACTCATGAACAAATGATTGACCTTTTACGTACGTCAGTGACAGTAAAAGTGGTGATTATTCAACCACACGAGGATGGAGCACCTAGAAGGTAAGGAGCAACAGTTCTCATTGTGACATTTGTATCTGCTTGGTTGGGTTGTTTTTTTCTCTGCTGCTGCTTAAGTGATGAGTCTTTTAATGGAGGCCCTCAGGAAATGGATATTGTCTCTCATGTTTGGTGATAATATTACTGAGCTTCCTAAAGCGGTCTTTTCCCCCAAACCCCTGTTGGCTTGTAATAGAAGATAAAATGGGATCCTGTAAGAAATTTAATGGGATATTTACTTTTATATGGCTTCAAAAGAGTAAGAAGTAAACTTTAGTGCCTTGTGACTGAGCTGTTATGAAAGCTGATGTGACTTCTTTTCTTCCATGCGAGAATTTTATATTTTAATAGTAAATTTGAAAATTGGGAATCCTTCTCTGAAAGCTGTACCTTGTCTGTCTATGACACTTCTGTGAGTCCTGACTATTGAAAAAGATTTGTTTTATGTTTTCTTATGTTCAAATTTTAACAAAAGTAGTGAAATACTGGGTTCTGGATAGATATGGTATGGTACCATGTCTTAGAGTCCTCCTCACTTTCTACAGATATCTAATTTAGTCATCTTAAGTAGTGAAAATTAAATCATCAGTTAAAGCAAAGAAATCTTGCTGCAACATGAAATAAATGCTCACACTCTCAGGAAAAGACTGTAATAAAGATTGTTTTTCAGGGTTGAAATGCAATTTTCTTTCATTAGTGTTCCTTTTTTGGTGTCAAAAAGATTTTTGCTCTTCTCTCCATTTTTTAATATTATGCACTACAGAAGAAGTAGGGAAAATTTAAAACTTTATAATAATGTGATTTTATTTCTCACATACCTTGTCTAGGCACTGTTAATTTGGCTCATTCGAAATGAGAACTGTACCAGAGTAAATTGAATTACATGTCTTCTTGTAGAAGGCCAACTTTAAAATCTCTTGTTGATTTTTAATTTAACAGAAAAAACATTAGATGTGTTGCTTTTGGCAAGACAACAAGCCATAAAATTTTACGTAGCATGCAGCACTATGAAGTTGGTGCCAGCTGTACACGAATACTGTTTAATTGGTGGCAATTCTCCAAGTAGTCATTGGCCTGATGAATGACACAGAAGTGCCCTCCCCTGCCTCAACCTGCATGTCAATGTGTTGGGTTCCTTTCTGAAGAAAATGCCTGTGAATGTAGAATACCACCGTTTTGCTTAGTTGGATAGAATTTGCAATTAAGCCTCTCTTTGCTTAGCTTTGCTATTCTCACCATCTGCTTCTGGGTATGAATTTTCACTGACTTGTTTGCTATACATTTCCAAGCTGTTTACAGAATATGAGCCTAATGAGCTGATCCTATTATATTGAAGGTAAAACCGTGTATTTTATAGGCCCTGTTGGAAAAATACATGCTGTATGAATTGTTTATATCTTCTTCGATGCATTTTTAGAAATAAAATGTTAAAATCCCAGATCAGTGTGATACGTGGCACTCGGTCTATGTGCAGGAGGAGTTTTAACTGAGTGCTGCCAAACTGGGAAAAATCTTCAAAAGCTGTTCTTGTTTATAATTTTTTTGCATTTTTAAAACTGTGTTACTAAGGATTTTTTTTTTAACTATGTTTCTATTCTAAAATATGGAAAGCACCAAAGCATTTATTTTTAAGTTCTTTTCAACCTGATCTCTCTACTATAAAAAAGAAATCTTCATTAATGCCTCTTTCTCTCAAATATCAATTTCTCACTGAAACAGTAAGCTCCTCGTTTCCCCCTTTATATCTTCAAAATATGATTAGTGATTTTGATTGCCCAACTTGAAAGGGATCCGATATCCAGAGAGTTTTGAACTTGCCTTTTCTCAGTGCTTATAATCTAAATAGCAGACAGAAAGCAATATGGATGTCAGGAGTCAAGACTGAGAGTTTCAGTTGACAAACATGACCTATGACATTGTTTGTAAAAATATATTAATGAGCAAGGGAATGAGGACAAGGCAGAAAGGTGTATATTACCGGAGATTCGGAGAAAGAAGATAGTCTATCAATCACAGCTATCTACTAGTTAAAACTTGTGCAAATCCATCTCCCTGTGTTTTACTCAGTTGTTTGTCTTAGCCATCTGCAATGTCTTATCTTGCAGAATCATAAAAACAGAGAATAGTTGAGGTTGGAAGGGATCTCTGAAGATTGTTGAGTCCAATTCCATTGCTCAAAGCAAGGTCAACTAGAGCATATTGCTCAGGGACATGTTTACTGGGTTTTGAGTATCTCCAAGGATGAAGACTCCACAACTTCATTTCCAGTGTGCAATCATCCTTACAGTAACAAATGGTTTTACTTATGCATAAATGGAATTTCCTGTATTTCAGTTTGTGCACATTGCCTCCTGTGATTTCACTGGATACAACTCTGAATCTGTCATCTTTTCTCCCCTTCACTCCATCAGATATTTATACACATTGATAAGATCCCTCCTGAGCCTTCTCTTTCGCAGCCTGAACAATCCCAGTGCTCTCAGCCTCTCCTTGTGTTTCAGATCCTCTGATCCCTTAACCATCTTTGTAACTCTTTGCTGGACTTGCTCCAGTATGTTCATGTCTTGTACCCTGGTATCAGGTTTATGAGAAATTTACAGGCAGTAGTTTTGGATGTAAAATAGGACTATCTGGAGAACTAGAGTCCATTTCACCTTCATTTGACAAGAAATGTCACTGTCCTTGGAGAATCCATGCATGGCTATATAGGATAGAATTGGGTCTCTGTGAGTGATTTCCAACACCTATCTGTAAGGTTAAGGCAGGTGTGCCAGCTCATCAGGAGAGAACTTTTTTACTGTCACATAGCTCTAATAATTATCAAATAACACTCAGGCATACAGATATTTCCTTCAAAGTTGGGGATCCATCAGTCCTTGATCCACATGCTATACATGTCTAGAAGAATGATGGTTCAAAAGCAGGAGAAAGCTTCACAGATGTGTTCCATTAATTATTGCTTTCATTCACAGCTGTTTTTAGAGATTTTGTTCTAAGAAATGATACTTCAGTCTATCTGACATATGTAGAACAGTAGATTTGGAGGCTGAAATAAGTACCTTGAAAGTTTGACTCATCCTACAGAGCATATAATCTTCTGACAGTTGGAGTTTTTTGCTCTGTATTTCAGCCTTATTTCTCAGGGTAGATATTGGTAGTTTATAAAAAATTTTTACTTTAAATGCCATAATCTGGGTTTTCAAGTTTTTGTCTACTGCGCATAGATATAAAAACACATTCATCTTTGTTTCTACAAGAATCAGTTGTATTAAAAATTAGCATACATTTACAAGAATATAAATATAATTTTAGCAAAAAAAAAAATTCATGAAAAATTCCCATATATCATTTTATTGATGCCTGTCTTTCATACATTGAGATAATCAGCTGATTTCCACTGCTTGAAAGAGTAGTTTCTGCTTAGCTCTCTCTGCTGGGTTTTAGGAATATGAAGCTATGAGGACTTTCTCTTTAGGTTGCTTATTAGCACTGGTACCTTGCTGGGATCAAATTCTGAAATGAGTTTACACAGATTGGACATGAGTGCCATGGAGCGTCTTGGGAATTATATCCTTGAAATGAAAATGAGTTTCAAGTATGCAAGGGTGTTTCCAAAGCAGTCCCAGTCCCTTGGAAAAATATCAGCTGAAGTGGAGGTCTTTAATCAAGTTCTTAACTTGATTTTTTTTTATTCTGTTAGCTTACCCACAAATTGTCCTCAGTCCATCAGCCCTTTATATATTAAAAGAAAACCAACAAAGTCTAAGTGTGCATACACTGAGGATATTATTAATGAACTATTAACAATTAATTTATTTTTTGCTATGAATTATCTTGTATTAATTTATTTCGGCATGAAAATAAATTATTTGGAATGCTGAAGATGCTTACAAAGGACTGTTACAGAGTGATTAGGAAATTACAGAGGAAAACTGCTCAATAATGTGTTCCATTACTTAATGTAGATCCTTCTACCTGTAGTCTTGATAGCACTCTATGCAAAACCAATCATGGAATAAGGCCTTTCATTTACTATCCTGTAAAATTAATGAACTTGAGACAAAGCTCCTGCTGTTTGCAGTTTGCTCCAGCAATTAAATAATCGTGCACAAATTGAGAAATCATAATTATTTGCATGGCACTAGGTTGATATTTAGATAGAAAGAAGAAATTGCTATTTGAAACATAAATTCTTTAAATTCCAAAGCAGTATTAGAACACACATACTGATCAGTGTATTCAGATCTGAGTAAGTATCCTTGTGTCATATTCGTTTCTATGCAATGTCTTTCCCTTCAGGACTGTTGATTTGTCCTTCTGTTGTTGTCAATATTCCCAAGTACTGCAGTGCAGTAACTTGAATTATACATGGTTTAACAGGAGAATAATGATGTTCATTCTAATCTGCTTTCACTGGTGGTGTCACAGTAATGCTCAAGGACACTATAGCCTTAATCAGTCAAATCCAATCAAGGAATTCAAGTACTTCTAAATCCATTTTAAACTGCTAGAATCTTACTTGCTACATTGAAACTTGTGTCTGTCTTAGTTTAACTACCATTATATATAAAAAGAAACTGTTTAAGAACTGCTTAAGAAACAACTTCTAGAAAGTTTAGAAAACAAAGAAAAACTTTAAGCAAAATTTCCAGGGATGGCTGAGAAACAGAAGCTCAAGTACAACCACTGTTGTAGGAGTGGTAGTTTCCACCTGTTGGTCTGCACAAGTAACAGATTTTTTTCCTGCTGTTGTAGGTAATTTTGAAAATGGAAATATTTTAGTAACTATGACTGAAACTGTCGATGGGCCATTCTTAAGTACTACTGCATTTCTTTTGAGGTTGTTTTATTCTCTTGAACTTTGCAAACTCTTTCTTACACATAAAATAGGTGTAATGACTTTCTGTATTTTCCAGTCCTGATTCTTGTTCCTCTTAAATGATTGTGATCATCTTTGACAATTGTGTTTCTAGGGCTTTTTTTTTAAGTAACAGATAACCAGC